TGTATTGACAAAAAGAGATAACAGAAAAAGAATGGATGCATGTTTCTATGAAACTGAAAAAGACAGAAATAAACTTACTCGAAACCCTAACCTGTATGGGATTCAAGAGAAGTCGAAATGAAATAGCACACCATTTACAAAAATGTGCCACAATGTAAGTGTAATTTATGCAACCAGTTTTACATCAATAATACTTTATTTACAAGTGTATGTGTCATTTTAAACCAAGGCTCAGTCAGTGTAAGGCAGGTATCAATAGATATAGTCCACATTATTAGAAGCTGAACAGTTGCACCTTTTTATTTCTCCAGGCCCTGTATTTCAGCACTTTTAATATGTGTTAAATTTTGACAAAGCAACCTATCGCAACTGTCAAAACTGCGTCTGTTATAGCTTTGGTATGTGTGTCTGCCGATGGAAGGTGTACAATAACATGTACAGATGATTTAACTGTTGAGCAAAACAACAGAATGTAAGCAGAGCAAATATATGTATTAACAAACTCTCATTGGTACATTCAGCAGAACAATAATCCTAAAATATGAGGTGAAAGTTGTTACAATCAGATGCAATAAAGACTTCAAAGAGTCTGTCTAATTGAATTCACCATCATTCTGATTGAACTTGTTTGTCAAACTAATTTGTAAACTCTGCATTTTAATGTGCTGTATAAATATCTCTATTGAATATGTTGATTAACTATTACTAATAATATATGATGATTTTGTTAGTTGTTTTGTGCTCTGTTATATTTGACTCTGTTTAATCTCTCACATTTTTAAGCAGAGCACCAAACAAAAAAAAAAAAGGAAAACTGTTTAGATACTTAGAACTGGAACTCTACTCTTTTCTACTCTATTTGAGCACTCAAAGCATTTTCTTACTACAAGCCTCATTCACACATTCACACAAGTGCTTTTTTCTATGCCTAACCACTTTAACCTAAAACTCTACATTCAGATAGATGCACTGGGAGGAACTGGGATATAACCACCAACCTTTTGGCTTGTGGACGACTGGCTCTCTATTACTGCGAGTGGTGTGATAACCATCCTAGGAAGGTATCCCAGATATTCATAGCCATAAATGCATGTGGACAGCTCAATTGTTGCTACACAGTTGTTTAAGTTCATGTCCCAGTTGAAGGATAGTTGTCTCTGTCATTCAAGTCCAAGTTGTACCTGATATCAATCAAAAGAAAGCCTCGAGTCAAGTCAAGTTTTAAACCTAAGTTACACTGATCACAGGAAAAATCTCCAGTTAAATCTTGTACGTATTATACGTATTATATTAAGCCAAGAACAGACGTTTATCAATGGTCAACTGACGCTGGTCTATCGTACCTTTTCCCAAACTAGATAGGTGACAATGTCCCTGGCATGGATATCGATGGTGACGACATGGCATTTGTGTCAGTGGTGATGTCATTAAAATGTGCAGGCTTGTTTGGTCAGGTTAAAATTTTATCACACAATAAAGAAGGCACAGTGAGAATTTGTACTGCCAAACGGTCATGGTCTCTCTCCAAGTGTGTTTCCACGTCCCTGCCCTACATCATCTGTGATATGGTCAGCACCACCTGGTGGACGCAAAAACAAAGTGAAATTAAAATCTCGTATAAAGAAAGAGTAATCAAGCACACACGCACACACACACACACACACACACTGGACACCCATCCCACTAATCACAGATACATAGATTAATGTACACACACACTCTCACAAATTTTGTGTATATGTGTGTGTGTGTTCTATGTGTGTATCTGCGATGGGTATCCAGCCACCACTTATTCCTCCGTAGACTTCACCTGGTAGGCTGTAATGGCCTCCTTGCTAAGCTGTTGCTGTGAGGAAAATCTAGCATCCTCCATACTGCAAAGCCAATCTTCGACGTTCCCTCATGCACAGAGCAGCAGAATCACTTGGGGATGAGGATTTGATTACATCTGTTGTGTCTTGTTATGATATACTGTAATTTCCAGAGGAGCAGAGAGTGGACTTCATCTGAATACAGCTGTCAATTATAACACTCTTGCCAACAAAGTTTTCGTGACAATACCGCTTTTCATTTTCAAATGTTTTAATTTTGGGTACAAATTAAAACTGGGAATGTCCGTTTTTTGCTTTAAATGCTGCCTGTAGGAGTTCTTGCATAATGCAAAATAATTCTCACCACAGTGAGAGAGCTGAAATTTAAAATTCTGCAACTGCAATTAAAAATTACATAAACTTTATGATTAGAATGACTGTTATTCAAATTAATAATACTGTTATGCAAAACTGTTCACTTGAAAGATGTGCACGCAGGCTTTTTCTTGCTTTCAAATTACTGGATACCTAACAGCAACTGGTAGCTCAATCGGTGGTCCAATCTAAGGATTCTAATCTGCCAGATAGATGAGTATAAGCAATTTTATGAGATATAAGGGGTTTTTTTTTTTCAATTTCTATCTACCCTTTTAGTAAGGACTGGAACAAGAAAATAACAGGCTGAATAAAACACAGTCAGAGAATAATGATCACAAGTGTGAAGGTTACTCAAACCTGACCTTTTCTCCCTCAGGGAAGGCCATATTCAGGATGTCTTTGCTATATATGGTCCTCTGTTCTCCAGCACCCACCATTTCTGGAGCACCAGAAGGTTCTTCGGCCAATAAAGCAAACTCTAGTCATGTAATGGCATCAAAACACTTCCTGAGGTGAGCCTGCACTGCTTGAAGGTTATATGTCTGAGCCAGAATCTTTAGCAGCTAATCACTGGATAAGAAGCAAAATCTATACATCTGAGAAAAAGCATAAATACAAGCAGAGTGTGCAAATAGTTAGAATTTAAGAATAATCTTCTTCTATTTTCTTTAAACGCAAAATGTAAAATGTAAAGAATTACAGATTTCTGTAGTACATAACTGAATTAAAGAAAAAAAATGATGATAATTGGCCATGATCTTCAAGTAGTCAGGTGTCAATAGATTAAACATAACTACAAATATGAAGTGAAAATTACAGCATATAGCACAAATGCTATTTAATAAAACTTGACATCATTAAAGGAATAAATAGAAAAAAAGATCTAAAATTTGAAAAAGCTGCTGTGTTTTCAGGGCCTGAGATCATTTAAGATGGAGAAAGATGAAGTTGAAAACTGTCCATTCAAAATTTGAAATTATATCAGGAAATCATGATCGTCATATCCTCCGGACAACCGGAGAGGCTCATGATAAGTGCAAGAGGTAACATGATGATATGGGGTTGCAATCACACGCATGGCAAGAGTAATGTTTATATCTGTTAAGCACCATAATTTCTTAATGAAGCAGGAAGGTTTTCGAAAAAGATAAGCTACAATCCAGCAAAAGACTGATTTTAAAACTACAACAATTGGCCTTAGTGGTCTCAAAAGAAGAGTAATGTAAGTGATGTGATGCAATGCAGTGAAAGAAATACCACTGACCCATTTTTTGAAAAGGGCTGCAGCTTTCAAATTGTAAATTTCAGTATATTAATATCTATCTATCTATCTATACATACATACATGGGGACAGAGCATCTCCTTGGTAGATCCCGCACCTGATGGTGACATGTGCTATGGGCTTTGAAGTTGGCATCTAGTGTCATGCGCCACATCCCCATTGAGTTCCTGATGAAGGCTCTTTTAGGGTCCTGTTGATCTTTTATAGTTCTAGGCATTCCAGGATCCATATGTGGGGCATTGAGTCATAGGCCTTCTTGTAATCAATCCAGGCAGTGCACAGGTTGGTCAGTCTGGTCTTGCACTCTCGGCTGATTGTTCAGTCTACCTTCAAGCTTGGGTCCTCTACCAGAGGCCTGGAAGTTTGAGGGTCTCTGTTTCTGGGATCTGCTGGAGCCACTCGCCTAGCTTGGGAGTCACCGCACCGAGTGCTCCGATTACCACGGGGACCACCGTTACCTTCACCCTCCACATCCTCTCGAGCTCTTCTCTGAGCCCTTGGTACTTCTCCAGCTTCTCGTGTTCCTTCTTCCTGATGTTGCTGTCATTCAGTATCGCTACATCAGTCACTACGGCTTTCATCTTCCGCTTGTCTACCACCACTATATCTGGTTGGTTAGCCACCACTATTTTGTCCGTTTGTATCTGGAAGTCCCACAGGATCTTAGTTCGGTCATTCTCCACCACCTTTGGAGGCATCTCCCATTTTGACCTCGGGACTTCCAGTCCATACTTGTCAGAGATGTTCCTGTATACTATGCCGGCCACTTGGATATGGTGTTCCATGTATAGCTTGCCTGCTATCATCTTGCACCCTGCTGTTATGTGCTCAGGGGCATCTTTACACAGGCTGCACCTGAGGTCTTGCCTAGTGTGGTAGATGGATCTTGGGCTCAGAGCTTGCTAATGTGCTGTCATGATTAGTACCTCTGTGCTGTCTTTCAGTCCAGCTTCATCCAGCTACCGGAAGGATGTCTGGATATCAGCCACCTCCTCTATCTGCCGGCGATACATACCATGTCCTTCCATGATGGTTCCTCCTCTTTCTTGGATTTCTGCTGCCTGGGATATTCACTGAGCACACAGTTGGTTGGAGCCATCTTCCTGATGCATTTGTGGATGTTGCCTCATCCTGGACTGTGGTCCTGAAACTCACTAGTCCCCAGCCTCCTTCCTTCCACTTAGCATACAGCCTCAGAGTGCTGGACCTGGGGTGAAACCATCCATGCATGGTCAGGAGCTTCCTTGTGTTTCCTTGAGGCGACTTTTGTTGTGATTTGGCACTATATAAATAAAATTGAATTGAATATGTCAGTGGCTTTTATCTCCTCCTTTGGCAAGCTTATTATCCCAGCAGGGTACCTGATCACAGGCAGGGCATAGGTGTTGATAGCCCGGATCTTGTTCTTGCTGTTCAGCTGACTCCTCCATTTACTTCTTTACTTCTGAGAAAATAAAGATGCTATTTTTTATACTTTATATTATTTTAGTACTACTTACTTTCCCAGCTTTTTGTTACCTTGGTCTCAACTTTTTGGAGCCATGTTCCTGCAATAAAATTCAAAATGTGCTAATTTTCTCATAAAAATAGAAAAAATTCTCAGGATAAACAAAGATCAGTTTTTATTTGCATTTTACACAACCTCTTGATACTTTTGGAAATGGGATTGTAAAAACAAAAAAGATGCTGTTTGAAAATGTTTCAATAATATAAAAAGAGTACTTTGTAAAGGTCTGCTGTTGTCGTGTGTAACAAACAAATGATGTGTGCAGAATATCCTGGGAAAGATGATGCTCTTGGACTCCAGGTAAGCTTCTAGACACTTCTGTAGCTCATTAAAAGAGCATTTTCCACTAAACAGTCGCCAACAGATCTGTTTGGGATATCAACAAGGCATGTGTGCTGTCTCAATATATTCACTTGCATAAATGCATATGTTTTCATGTTTCTTTCTCTTATCATTAACATGCCTATGCCTAATTTCTATGCATTCTGTTTGGTAAAATACCACACTGTGTGGCTGCTTTAAGGTCATTGGGTATCTTATTAACTTTAGCCACAATCTCTTTCCAGGACTTCCCAACCTTGAGAAACATATTTGACTCAGCAGGCAGTTGCCTCTTGATGTCTGCAGCCAAAAAGATACCTAGGTATAACCAGTTTCTTTGGCATGTGAGCCAATCATCCTGGAGAGAAGGTAATAAAGGATGGAAAATAAGAAATAGATTGGAACAGAAGACAGTGGGGACAATGTGAGCAGACAGAAAATTAAGAATGTATTGGAAATTAATAAAAAGACAGAACACTGTTACTACAGAACTGTTCCATTACATCAACTACTGAACTCAGTGAACTTTGAAAATGGATATATTTTGCAATTTTGTTTTTTTTTTGTAGCCACTAGGGAGAGCTGCTGTTTAGCATTTAAGGGTAGAGTCAATGTGAATCAAAGCACATCTGCATTTAAAAAGTATACAAGCCTTTACTACTAAGACAAGAATCACTTAGAGCCAAATTAAAGATCAATCTATTCTTTTTTTATAGCCTTTACCAATGTTTGGAGAGGATCAGCTGTCTTAGCAATTTGTCCACCCTCTGCTTGAACTACAAAGCATGAAGATGCTACTGCACACGCACGGATAATGCTGTCATCCAGGAGTACTTTCACACAAAAACAAACACAGAGGCACGAAGGATACGCAATTACAAATCAGAAACAATGCTGCTGTTTTACAATAGCCTGCATAAGAGTGCTACGCATTACAACCTGGACATCCTCTGTGCTTCCCAAGATAAGAATATCTTTGGAGGTACCATGAGACAGCATAGTAAACACGTGTGTTACTCATTAGAAGTGCTTCATCAACATGGGGTAACTATAGGGCATTTCTTGAATACCTTTTTGTATCCATGTATATTCTCCTATAAACATTAATTTCCTGAAAGAAAGCTGGCGTGTCTGATAGAGTGCTAAATGTGACTCCGCAGCCAAAACAGCTTTGTTTAGTAGAATGCAGGAAGAAATAGCCAACCTGCCTATGTATGCACCACTAAAGTTATTGCCATGAACCTATCTGCCAAGTAGGTTATGTTTCTGGTAGCATTTTAGTGAATTCTGATAAAACCTTGCAGGGGCATAGTGTAGTCATGTTAACAGTCCATTAAAATTTGGCTTACAAAATTTCATCTGGGATTAATAAAGTATTTTGTTTCTGATTCAACCACCAAGGTCTTCAAGGTTAATTCATTGAGTTACTCATTGGAAATTGACAAAAAGCTGTATAACCTAGAAACTACGATTCTGTGTTGTGTATTGTCAACATAAAGAAAATGATTTGTAATGTAATGACCACTTAAAACTATCCTTAAAATTAAAAATTTGTATTGCAACATTTACAAAATGATGATTGGTATATGTGGATTCTAAGTATCACATTATAGTTTGCATCCAGACCTCTGATCTCACTTTTACATTTCATATCTGCCCTTCTTCCAAGTTGACCTCAAAATGTGTTAGATCTTTAAAAAAAGTATTTTCAAGAGAAAGAGATATCTAGTTAGTTACTTAGAAATGTACTTTATATATTATAATAAGTTTAACTTATTTATGTCCAGTTACTTACAAATTAATAACTATTATCCATGACCTACTTGTACATGTCTATCTGTCATGCTACTTTTATCCGATTTTTAATGCACTACAAAAATGTTAAAGTATTTTTAAAAAGAACAAAGAAAACAAAATGAATATATAAAAAATATAATACTAATCCCTTAAAAGTAAATACTGCCCAGAGTGAGCTGACTTGGCAGAAGTTTCCTCTCTCAGAGTGCGTCTTGTTTGTTTTATTGGTTATGTTAACTGTGCCCTTGATGTGTTTTACACCAAAGGTTTCTGAGATCAAGAAACATTTGAGTGGCTTTGATTCATATGTGGGTGCAAAACAGAATATTTAACAGATAAATGTAAATGCAACTTCTACTACAGTTTATATAATATTTGTATAATTACTGATATGAAGTCCACACACTTTTGAGATAATGTATTAGGTTATCTTTTTCCCCTCATCTATATGTTGCTGAGAAGGAATTAGAATTTGTATTTCATCTGTAAAATTGCCCTAAGGAGTTGTCATTTAATATCTGCAGATGCAATTATAATAGTGACTTGTGAGCCCATGAAGACAATTTGGGACTGGACATTTCATTCAATCAATCAGTAATCTTTGTCGGTATATTAATTTCTCACAGCTGAGGTTTGGCAAATCTCTGGGCATGTCCCTATAATTGATGGACGGGGGAGCAACTGATATAACAGCTAACCCTTATTATAGAAGACAAAGGAAATACACAAGTGCACAAAGGCTACTGCATAAAACCATAAAATGTACGGTTTCTTACATTTATGCCTACAATATGAAGCGCCTCGTGGGACTGTTGTGATTTGGTGCTATACAAATTAAACTGAACTGAAATGGGATCTGATCACTTTACATACAGCCTGTGGCGCCACCAAAGTCCTTCTCTAAACAACTTTTGCTACTCGGTACCCATCTTGAAACACATCCAGGAAGTTATTTTAAAGAAAGCGCTTCACTTTTTATTTAAATAGTTAGTGGAACATAAAAACAATATGCATTAAAAAAACGAGTCAAATCTGAGGGAAAAAAAAGCCTCAATATTAAAGTATCAACACTTTAACACATGACCACAGCCATTTTAAGACACAAAAATGTAAGTATTAATAAATCCGCCACACCCACACAAAAAAGATTATTTTAAATTAGTTTTATTTTTTATAACAAAATGAAAAATTCATTTTTCATATAGCATTGGTACACAAAAAGAATGGAAAACATGAAAGCAGTGCTTTCTTGTACCACATTAGACATGCTCTAGATCCACCGAGGCTGTTTTTCTTCGCTGAGATTGCAACCTATTCAGCTATTAGAAAAAAACAAAACAAAAAGTAAAATGAAACGAGCACAACCACAAATAATATCAGTTTTCAATCAGACAACAAAGGGATAGTAAAAACACATTTCTCCTAGCACGACTCTCACGATGGCAGCCCATCACAGGGACCAGCACACTAGATTAGTTACCCATACCTGCTGTGAAGCAGTAGTTGCCCTTTGTTCCGCTTGCGTCAGCCGTCTCTGGAGACGACTAGTCTTCTCTTGATACTCCGCTAGCTGCTTCTCATACTGCACAAAACATGTATCAATTAGTTACACATGGAGTAAAACACAAATGTCTCAGTGTTAAACCTTTTGCTTTTTTTAAGTACTAAAGTACCAAGGAACATATGGTGGAATTATCATTTTCCATTACCGCAGACACACTTGTTTTCAGGCTGCTGTTCACAGATGCAAGCTTTGCATTTTAAAAATATGCAAAATCTTGACAACATCAGTGCAATTCATTTGTTTCTGAACAAACCCAAGCTGTTTCAGTTCATGGTACATTCTTTAAATTATTCTTGCTGCATCTGTGCATTATGTGAGAAAAACTGCTCTCAAACATCAGGTTTGAGCTCATAAGATGAAAGCAAATTCTACAACATAAACTCCTAGAACTTCTAGAATCACTGAGTTGTTAAAGAGCGCTGACATTTTTCTTAGCTGCTGCGAAGGCCTGACATCTGCAGAGGCTAACACCTATTAACAGGCTTAAAGAAAAAGACAAAGTCATTCACATATAATACAAGAATTATTTGAGAAATGGCCAGTTTCATTTTTCTCTTACAATAATCTCTAGTGTGTGTTTGTGTGTCGCTCAAACCTCAGAAATTGTGTCATGGTCAGTTTGAAGCTGCGCCTCCAGCTCACGTGAACGCTGCTTCTGTCGATTCAGCTCAGCCCTGAAATGAACATTTTAAAAAGACGAGTCCAACCATCTGTCAGTGAGGGCCAAGTCAACTTTTGTTTCAGCTGCTGTTGAAATGTATCTGTTACTTAAACTTTGTTTCACGGTTACAGATAAAACTGTAAAGTGTCAGACTGAGAATATTTCTTTACATTTAATTAAAACTTTTTATTTCATTTTGTAGACTGCTGTATTAAATATTTCTTTTTCCAATTTCATTCTTTTTCATTTTTAAAACAACCCACTGTTTCAAATTTTTCTACAGCAGAAGCAGCCAGAGATACAGGCAAAGTATGCTGTGTAAGGTGAAAGGGTCAGCTGCACACCGATGTTTCGAAACCAACTTTAGCTCAGTTATTGAGTTTCGACCTGCCCATTTGGCCCATTTATCAGCGTGGTCAATAGCGGCACCAGCAATGACCTACAGTTCATGGAAGCAATTAAGGTACTCAAGCTCCCATCTGAGTCATAACTCTGCCAATGCTGAACACAAAGAATGCACAGTTTTAAATTCAGCATGACCTATGCCTCACAGGATGTTACACCTGTGTTTGTTTCTCTCACATTTTAAGCAGATTTACTGCTATTTATCAAATAGTTGCTTGCAAATATCTTTTAAAATGTTAGTGACACAGGAATTCTGTAACAGATGTCAGTACATCTATATAAAAGTGGAAGAATACCTAATTTTCATTGAACCATGCTAAAATGTAAACAAATATAGGTAATATACCTCAACACCCTAAAGCATTATGGGAACTAATCGCTTTAGTTTTGTGTGAGGAATGAAAGAGTGTCAGGCAACAACTCCTGAGGTGCACAAGCACATAGTAATTACCCAGTCAAGTCACACTCACAGTTGTCAGTGTAGAAGAGTTTGTAAGTTAGTCATGTGAAAAAAGGTTTCACAGGAATACACAGTCCTAGAAGTGTCCACGGAAGAGGCTTTCTTCAGGAAACCTTAACAAACAAGCACTACTTTTTCATTCTATTTCTAATTATATTCTCATGAACTTTAACATGTGCCATGGTAACTAGGGCCTGCAGAGTTTGAGCTGTAGCTCTTGTGTTACTTTTTATTTCTTCTTTTTTTTTTTTAAATTCCAATTTTTCTGATGGTTTGAGCTCAGGTGAACTTGCCAAGGCATCCACTCCTTATATTATGTTAAGGCACACCTGACCACCAACCTGACCAAATGTCTGCTTTTATATAGGTGGTCACACTTGCTGATCAGTTAATCAAGTGTACTTGACAACCAGCACGTGGCTGCTATTTCCCTTTTATTTCCTATTGAATCAATAAGAGTGTACTTTGTTTTGTACAGGACTGGACAGAGTCCTGTACAAAGTCATGTTTTCTTGTAAGTCATCTGACATTTAAGTTGTGAAGTTGTAACCCTTTAGTTTAAAAGCACATTTCGTTTTGTGCCCTTCTGTCCTTGCATTAGTAATCTTAAAAATACAATTTCAAAAGTCTTACTTAAGGGTCGTGATTTTAGTCTCAAATGCATGGACCAGGTTCTTGGCCTCTTCCTTCCATCGCTGTGTACTTTTCTGCTGAGCTGTAAGAAGTCGAGTGAGATCAGCGCTAGAACTTCGACTGCTTTCCTCCAGCTCCCTCACTCGTGCATCCAGTTCTTGCTCCTTTAAGCTGTACTCTTGCTCCAACTTAGATACCTGAAGGGATGAGGTTATATAAAGTTTCAAACTCTTTTTAAATGGTCATATAAATTATGTAATGGTACATTATCACTTGTGTGTAAACCCTGTTTTATGCTATATATCTAGCTATCCTACTACTGACAATGGCTTTTCAGCAGTTAATCAAAAATATAACACTTTATTATTCCACTTTATTTAAAGGACCATTTCACAGATTTTACACATACCTCAGAAATTATCCCAGACAATGTCATGAGGCTAGAAAAACTTAATTAATTAACTCTTAATTTTCTTTTTTACTTAAATGCGGTAATTTATTAGGCAGGGTTGCAATTTCTTATCGTTATTATTAGAATGCATTGTGGGAACTCCAAGACCCATAGGAAGCCCAAATTTCCCAAATTTGGATTATTAATCATTATCGATTCCCATCCTTCCCATTTACCTGTTGCTTGGCCTTATTCTGGACTTGCAGGGTGGCTTTGCGCAACTCATCCATCTCCTTGCGGAGCTGAAAGTTCTCCTGCTGCAGTTGCAGCCGCTCTTCGCTGACATCGATGCAGTCATTGCGGGCTGAAGCCAGAGAGCTCTGCAGGCGTCGCACTTCTTCCTGGCATCGTGACAGCTCCTCGCTATACCTACGGGTAAAAGATTGGAAGAAATAATGGGCAAAGTAAAAGCAGAGCACTAAACCTGATGCGCAGAATACTTACGGATCAAATAACGAAGAGCAAATCTATAGTGCACTTACTCCATCTCCATCGTTTTAAGTTTGTTCTGCGTGCTTTGCAGAGTGAGACTTATGTCTTCCCTCTGCCTCTCAGCATCTAGACACCTCTGATGAAGGGCATCAATCTTCCTGAACTCTGGCTCTGCCCTGCCTTCCTTATATACCTGACACGAAACACAGCAGACTATTAAAATGATCAGCAGTGCCTCAGCACATTCACAAAACCACATAATCAAACATCATCAAAACACTGGAACAACTTTTTGCAGTGTCTTTCTTGCATTCCCCCTGATAAATTCAGATACCTTCTCCAGCTCCTCCTCTACAGCTTTTCTCTCTCGTAGGGACCTTTCAATCTGAGACTCTTTATCTGAACACTCCTAGACAGAGTCGGAAAGACGAGGAGACAGGAAAAAATGTTGGTAGGAGACAGAAATGAGTGGACAGGTAGACGCTATAAAAGGATTTATGGTGATTTTGAAATGAGTTTGCCCTCTTAGTTGGACAATTTCTTACCAGCTGCAGTGCAGACAGCTCCTCTGCCATACGGTGGATTTGAACATTGCACTGTTTGCGAACATTTCCCACCTGTTAAAAGATAAAGTCATAAAGCTCAAATATGGGGAGTTTAGCTCCTTTGCTTTTCCTTCCCCTTAGAGTGACTTTTAATGGTCACAAAAAGGCTTAACTCCTGAACTTAACCATCTGAGTTAAGTGCAGATATAAGGAAAAGCAGTCTGTGTTTAGACTTTTGCTTTGACTACTCCTATTTTAACTTTTCAATAGCACACTTGGTAACTTAAGGAAGAAGTGTCAATGCGTGAACAATATAGTCATATACATTAGTACACTGAAATCAAACTAGATTTGCTGAAGATTGAAACCATAAAAAGTCAAGATGAAAATAAACATCAAGCAGCAACATAGTGATGTATTTACTGACTTGATTTATGTATATATGAAACAACAGATAATAATGAGACAAAGGTCATAAAACAAACAGAAAAAACAATAACTATAGCAACCAAAAAAGGAGCAATCGCTGCAAATTCTTAATTACACTTTATAGTGTTGCCGCTACTATGATATTATGTGCTTTCCTTGTAATTCAGTGAATATGCTAAATCTTGCATGTGATCACAGCAGCTACAAAGGCAGTATAGTGAGTTCTTGGACGCAGCTACCTTGAAAAATATGTCGTCCTCAAAAATGTCCTTGTGGCATTTATTGCTAAAGTAGATGTTTCAAAGACAACATTTCGCCATGATAACATACAGAGAGACTGGCTACCAGACACAGTAGTGTTGCTGGTAACCTGAACATGAGTGATATAGTATCTCATCTGGCTCACAATCCATAACAATTCAAAAATTAAAAAAACAAATAATAAAAGTGATCTTGAGCGCAGTGGGAGGTGAAGACCCATTAAGTGATGATTGATAAGTTTCACTACAATCTGACCAATACTCTTGAAAGAGTAGCGATTCCTTTCCAGTGTGGAAGGACAGACACCTCACACAGCTCATAAGCTCCGATCACTTGGCTGGATGACTTAAAAATCTTGCTAAGTCATCACAGCCTTACTTCCTGACAAGTCACTAAAAGTATTAAATACAAATGCCATCCCCATCAAAATCTCAAGTGAGAAAGTTAAAGTGAAAATTATCAAAAGCATTTTCTTCTTCACAGACATTTAAAGGACCATCAGGCCATTGTTTACTTTTGTGTTACCTGCTTGCTTTTGTTAAACTGATATTCTTCACTACATAATCAAGAACAATAGCCTTAAACTATGGACATTTCTTTGTGTCACCTGCATACACATCCTTCCTGATGCAAGTATATAATGCACTTGTATATTAAAGACACATAAAAACAATACTGCAAACTGTCAAAAAACAGATTACATGCAAGCTGACTGTGAATACAGTTTAATTGTAATCTTTGGCCTCCATTTTTGAAAATTTCTTCCCTCACACTCATCAGTTCGAGTGGCTCTCATGCCTTCAGGTAAGTCTGAGGTCTGACTCTCAACTGTAAGTAATTCTTCATTACATGACCTTATCTTAAGACTGAACTGCCTTAAATGAGAATGAGGGACAGAGTAGATTAAGGTAAAAAAAAAAACAAAACATTGACCCACTTTGACTAAAATATTTAAACTTAAACTGTCTTCAATGACAAAATTACCGGTAAGCTAGGTAAGCAAAGGCATGATAAAGGCAAAGCCCCGTGATTTGGAAAAAGTCTAAAAGCATCAACATTTAATCTCTAGAATATCATCCCATGTTGAGGGCCAGCAAGAGACTAAGATGACAGCTAGTGCTTCAGTCATACCATTTTACATTAATAGGATTAAACAGTTGAAGGCCTTGATGAAAAAGATCCATTAACAGAGCATTAATCACCATGTCTCCAGGGTTACACAGGGTAAAGAGCAGGGCTTTGCTTTCAGCTTAGTGCCTCATATGTTAAAAAAAAAAAAAAAAAGTATGGCTAAGCACAAGGTACAGTTGGAGGTTGCACTTCTCCTTGTAAAACTAATTATGAATCAAAAACTTTGGTTTTCTTTAATTTTCAGAATTGCCATTTTCGAAAGAAAGCATACAGATTTGGCAGCAAATACCCTGATGTCATCTATTGCTTTTAAGTAATGATGCGACTTGCTTCAAAGCAGACTTTAGTCACACACGAATCAAATTACATGAGTGTATTTTTAGGAGAAGCATTCATCTAGCCATTTAGTAACAGTGTACCTCCTTCTTGGTGCGGACTGCAGCATCATAGATCAACTGCTTGATTGCTTCCTTTGTCTTTTCCAGCTCTTCTGTTTTCTGCTTCTCTCTTAACAGGGCCTGAAGTGAAAAGTAAAGGCAGATACAAATAGGCAATTGAGGAGAGATCTGAAAACTATTTAGAAGATGCAGTCGAATATGTCAAAAAGACGACTCTGCCATTTAAAACAAACGCGATAAAACACTGAAAGGTCCAAAGTAACTGCATTTACCTGGTCTTTGTGCAATGTGGCTTCTTCGGCCACTTGAACGCTCTCTCGAACTTTAGACAGGGCTTCATACTTCTCCTCTTCGAGAGTGGTGCAACGTGCCTGGAGTTCCCCCACCTTTCGCTCCCACACAGTTTGTTCTCTGCGAACTGCCTCTGCCTCCTGTGATGCAGCTTTTAGCCTGGGATTGCAGAAAAGAAAGGATACCCAGCAGCAGAAAGAAAGTCAGAAAACTATTGCTTGACCCCATAAACACTGAAGCACTGATGTAAAATTCCATGACTTTCTATTAGATCAATACGCTGGCAGTGCTTTCCTAATCTCAACCACTGTTCCATCTTAGCTGACAGCCAGCAAGTGAAAGCCAACAGTTTAACATGGGCTGACCTGGTCTCCAGCTGGCTCAGGGCTGCCTGAAGCTGCTGCAGTCGTCTGTCTGCTGCATGTTCACGGCCCCGTGCTTCACCCATGTCTTCTTCCTAAACACATATGCATACAGTTAGGTCCAGAGTTTGGGACAAGGACACCATTTTTTTTTAAATTTTGTCTCCATCCAAAAAGATCAAGATGTGACTGAATTACACTTTAGTAAAGTCATTGGATAAACTAACAATTTTAAATTTAAAAAAATGGAGGGTTTTTTTGTACTTGAGTGAAAATCATTTGGAGTTAATGACCATCTGAAGTCAATATTCATGGACATTATCAAATGCTGCATTTCCTCCCTTGAGATGCTCTGCTAGGCCCTTGCTGCAGCTGCCTTCAGTTTATGTTATTTTCTGTTTTTTCATCAGTAACTTTGTTGGGTTGAGATCAAGTGACTGACTAGGCCATTAAAGAACACTCAATTTTTGTTACTTTCGCAGTGGGCTTTGTATCCTTATCCATTAGCACAGTGAAGCACGATCCAGAAAGAGGATTTCTCTATTCATTCAACACTGTATCAGCAATAACAACATCCCTAACTCACTTGTGATCAAGTTTCCACGGTGTTTGAGAGATGCTTCTGCTCATGAGGCGTTTTTTTCCCCTCCGTCATACTTTACCCTTTCATCATTCTGGCGCAAGTTAATCTTAGTTTCATCTGTCTAAACATTATTTTCAGAACCTAGCAGGCTCTTTTAAATGTTTTCTTAGACTAATGTGGGCTTCCTATACTTTAGTGTAACCAGTTGTCTGCAGCTTATTGTAAACCCTCTGTATTTACAGTCTTCCTCTTGATCATAGACTTTGACAGTGACATGCCTATGTACCTGTTTGAGAATCCTCTTGACTTGGTTAGATGCTATTCTTCAAGTTCAACAGTTGGAATTAACTTAACTTTTCATGTAATAATCAGGCATTAGACATTTGTGCAACTATATATAAAATTGTCAGTAATTCAGTTCAAACAGTTATTGCAGTACTTTTTTTAAAAGCCTTGAATTAAAGCTGAAAGTCTGCAGCGTTTGATTTAAAATTTAAAATCAAAGCAAAGACACACTGTCTAAACGTAGGGCCATAACTGTATCTGTCTTTCAAAATAGAGTTGTAAGTATGCAGGAATCTAATTTCAGATTATTAAAACAGATAGGCTGACATTTTTTAACTAGTCACACACAACTTATGTTGAAAAAAAAGGGAAAAAAGTACAAAATGCAGAATTCCAGCTTTAGTTTGAGGGATTAAGAAAAAAAAAACTATGCAGAGTGCAATATTTTCAGCATCTCAACTATAACTGATCAAATCAAGAGTCCTTTCATGCTCCTGAAACAAGTAAAGTATTGGTCTTTTTTCATGAATATTCATGAATTAGGCAAATATATGTATTTATATTTTCTTTTTTTCTAACCCGTCTCTGCATCTGTTCCTGGAGATTCTGCAACAGCTTGGTCATTTCATCCACTTTGGCTGTGGCTGTCCTCAATTCAGCTTTGGCTTGCCTACATAAGGACAGAGAAAGGAGAAAAAAACCCACACAAATTAAATAGCAAACTAACTGTCAGCTAGAATTTATAGCAGCCTGTCTGGGTTACTGAAAAATATATTTGGACAATTAAAAAAACAAAACAAGAGAAAACAAAACAAAAAAAACCTCATTTTCTTCATTTTTGCTAAATGTCAGTTGAAAAGATGTCTTTTTGGCAAATATCAAGCTCACAGCTTAAAACATACATTTAAACTTTAAGACTTAAAAGAACTCAGGGGTAGAGATGTCGTGTTATTGGACACTTTGAGACTTTTACTTCACACTGCTCTTCCTCAAATATAACCTCCATTTATGAAACAACTTCAATTTACACAAAGTTACAGGACATGGGAGAAGGTGATTTTCAGTCCAGTGTAGCATGTTGTGTAGTAGTTACACACTAACAGAACATGACCTCTGATGGCAGCCAGTAGCCTGTTACCTGAGCTGGCTGTGTAGCTCCTCCATCTCCGTGCTCTGCTCTGTCACTGTCTTCAGGAACTGCTGGTTTGTCTGTGTGTGGCAAGAGAGACACGACTGCCATTTGTGTGGCATGATTGCAAACACAGCTCCAACATTAACAACATCCAAATCAACCTTGTCTCTAATACATTTTTCAGTGTCCTTTTACATTAAACCCCGAGGTGTCTCTGTCAGTGATTACTACAAAGCCAGTCACTCTCCATGCTGTGAAAGAAACAGGCTGCTTGCATGAACAGTCAGAGGGGGGAGAGCCTAAAGTTTGCCTTCCCATTAAAAATGCATTAGAGGGATATAGTATTACTATACAATCTCTTTATACATTGTATTGTGACCAAGCACCTGGCGTGTGTGTATGTGCGTTCACAAGTTTTTGTGTGAATAAAAAAAATCCACAATATTTTGTACTCCTTAATCTCCGAGCAAGGTTAAGCCCAAATACAGGTCAGTCGTGTCTCTAAATAAATAAATAATCTCTAGTGCTGAATTATCTGTGACTGTAGGATAGAGAGAGAGCGGCAGAGGGAGAGCAGAGAGTACGACTTAAAAAGAATCTAGTTAGAGGATTACCAGGTGAGCTGACAGTCAATTATACAGCCTGACAGTTCTGGGTGACTACAGGAGTGATTTAGAAAACCAATTCGCTTAGTTAAAAGATTAATTATTAGAGCAGGGTCAATTTCAGAGAAGTGCATAACATTTCAATAATGTGGCTAATTGGGAGGCAGCAATTTAACACACTTTTAATTAACCGTCACTTACCGATTCCAGTTTCTGATTGGCCGCTTGGAGTTTGTATGTGTGCTGCTGAAAGTGAACAAGCTGATCCTGTGATGAAAAAAGGGGCATTCATGTCAAGTTAACTAACAGTAATTACCTCATCCTTATATCCCACATTAACTAAGGCCAAAGTGCTCTAATTAACTTGATTACAATGATAATAGCGCCATCTAGCGGTGAGAGGTTATTGTTCTAATCAAGTTCTGGCTTTGAATTTCCATTTCAGAATACTGAACCTTGAGCTGCTGTCTCTGGGAGTCATGGATTTGTCCTTCAGAGATTGTCTTCTGGTAGACCTGCTGGAGGCGATCCAGCTCCTGGGCTGTGGTCTGCCACAGTTCCATGGCCTGCATCCGCTCCTGAACACATACAGCAAACAATATCCACCCACATTTTGACACAGAGTTAACTTTCTTACTAGGAGTTGGAAGAAGAATACAAAACATCTTTCTGCATTCACAAGAGATCATTACTCCAGACACAAAAAACAACTCTTCTCCCTCAAAGACGACTAATGGTTTCTAAATAACGTGTGTTGCATCTTGTTAGCGGGATAACAAATCACCACTGAATCCAAAAAATGACCTGGGTTTTGTTCAGAATTATTAAAAAGTGCAAAAATGACAGCTTCATTAAAAGAGTGTGTGGAGCCGCTGGGAAAGGCTTTGCTGTCTTCAGTTATTAGTGCAAACGTGTGAACTCACTACTCAAAAAGAATTATGTATCATTTCCCAATGTTGCATATGTAAAAAAAAAAAAAAAAGAATACACAGACGGTACAAATGTTTAACTGTCAGAAAGCAATTCTGACAAAGCCAGAGTGGCTGTTTCCTTGTGCTCTCCACTGAATCCACAGAGATCAAAATAATATTGATTGTCTGATCTAACTTCCAGTCACGATGAATGTTCACAGCATCCAGCTAAATTCCAGCTGCACTTCAGCTCAGCCAAGGCCCTGTTGCGGTTTTAGTGTCCATACAAAATAAACATATCCATTAATACATTTCAGCTTCACAAACATTAAAAATTTATTCTGAGTGCTACTTAACAAAAAAAAGAAAAAGCTTTATTATTGTTATAATATTACATTTTTAAGTCGATCACCTGAATATTTAGTTTAACCTGTATCCGAGGCGAATATGGCTTTTAGTTGGTCAGTGAATGAACAGACAAAACCCTAATACATCTTTGTAGCTCTCATACAGTAGGCAAAACAAAAACAAAAACTGGCATACCCTGACGCTGAAAAAGCATCAGCTAAGAAGTAAGAGTTTTTTACGGATACCTGCAAATTGGTGCCGATTAACTTCCCATTTAGCATTTAATCAAACAATCAACTAAACACTGTAGCTCTAAAAATGTAGTTTCTTTTGATCTTAGATTGCTTACAACCACACTGCGAATTAGGCTACACTTGGACCCGGGGGGATGGTCACAAACAAATTTCAGGAATTAAGGAATTTGTTAACTTACAGCTTTCATGCAGAAAAGAACTTAAATGATCACAATTAACCTTACTGGACCAATCTGTTACTACAACCTTGGATACATGATTAAGACTACACCCTACTCTGATAAGCAGTACTGTCAAATCTTATCAGGATAAAGAGAAAAAGCCAGGTATTAAAGGAAGACAGGTTGGATAGTCACAGATTCAGTTTATAGCAAGATAACCTTTGAAGCAAAGACCTACAAGGAGTCTTTCTAATGACACAAGGTCTGTAAAGACTTAAGCCACATCAAGCTGAAATGGACTGAAAAATAGAAGAAACAGCAAGTACGACGCAACTGAATAAACTTCTGTAACACAGTTAGGATGAATTTTCTAAATTCTTTCCTTTTTATAGCAAGAATTCTACAAATGTTCAGGGTTGAGCGAGTTGCAAAATTAGATTAATACACTTTACAGTTTAAGATGATTCCCTTTTCTAAAGTTAAATAAGAATTCCTTCCTTAAAATATTGGCATTTCTTGACACCATGTGCTTGCTTTCAAGTTTTGGAAAACACATGTAGAAATTTCAGCATACTGAAAAACTCTGTCAGCTTCTAATTCCTGGTGTTTAAGAACAGAAGAGTGCAGAAAAGACCTATGGATGTGTGACTTCAAACTCCAGGCTGATGGATATACACACAGGCTAGAAAGGCCCCACACACGATGTGTTTCTTATATAAAAAAAAAAAGAAGAAAAAAAGTGTGTCTTAATCTACAAATGTTTAGACATATCAAACGGACATTTATGCAGACCTGTTCAGACAGCTGGACCTGTTCTTGGAGATTTTTGATGACCGCATCTTCTTCCAATGTGCTGCCCTCGACTCCTGAAGCTGTGGGCAGGGCATGAAGCTGCTTCTCAACAGACTCTCTCAGCTCTGCATGAAGCCTGGAAAAAGTATTCAGACTTAAGATGTTATGTCATAAAAATAAATAAATAAATACATTAACAGCATGCATAGTTTTAAGTGCTAAATAAAATAGAACAACCTTCATAAGGTTAATTATTTAGCTGGAATGCAAATGGTCAAGATGCCAGAATTCTAATCAAAGCTCTAATTACTAGACAAATGAGCGCACTAATTACAGCAGCCTGATTTGTGGTAGGTCATAGAAAATCAATCAGCCACTGAATGTAAAATAATTCAAGTAACAAATTCACACACAATACTGAATAATGCCATATCTTATGACAGGTTTAACTTATTGAAAATATTAGTACATTTGTCATGTTCTGTTGTGCAACCAACTTATTACATATTAACATGAGTGGATTTATATTTTTTTTACCTTTCATTTTCCTTGACAACCCTCTCCAACTTCAATTTGACGTCCGTCATCTGTGTCTGTACGTGAACACTGAGAGTCACTGATAACATCCCGACATATTTAATGCATCAGATGACCAAGAAATCTCAGGATTAAGATATTTATTTCCCAGCTACCGCTATCAAAGTCTTTGACTTCTGAATTATCAGTTTAATAGATTTCAAGGACTTAAATCTATAAATCACATCACTTCATCAAGCACCCACCACCAGACGCCTGTGTATTCGAACATTTCAGATGAAGGATGTTTTATTATTTCAGGATGTTGTTTTGTTGATTTACCTGATATCTCTGCAGCTGTTCAGTCATTTCTTCCATGTGCCGATCATACTCAGCTATCAGAGGAGCCATTATACTGCAACACAGACAAATGATGTTTCAGTACTGGGGGGAAAATTTTTTTTTTTAATTTTTTATTCACCATAACTCTGTCTTGCTGAATCTCTAGTGAATGCTGTGTCTCTAACGTGTCTACAAAGTGGTATGAAACTGATGAACTGACCCTCTATCTGAGATCCAGGGCACAGGAGACTCAGTGCGTCTTTCCTCCTCAACCTAACAAACATAAGGCATGTAAGGGGTGAGGGCTAGCAGTAGTTAATTGTATCAAAAACTTACTTTTCTCAGTTCAAAAAAAAAAAAACAATCACAATTTTTTTTTTATTGAAGATGCCAAATACTTGATTAATTTTAGATGAGCTAAACTAGCATAAGTTTTTAAGTTGAAGATCATTCTACTGTACACACACATGACTATGTCAGTACCCACCCAGACAATGCAGTAAATAAGTTCATAGATGATACCACTGTGGTGGGGCACATCTCTGGGGGCAATGAGACAGCATACAGAGCTGAGTTTGAGAGGCTGTCAGACAGGTGTGCGGACAACAATATGGGCCTCAATACCACCAAAACAAAACAGCTATAGTCAACTTTAGAAGAAAGAAGTCTGAGCTGCAGCCCATCAGCATCAATGGGGAGTGCGTGGAAATGGTATCCAGCTTCAAGTTCCTGGGTGTCCACATAGACACAGTACTCCAATGGACCTCAAACACCTCGGAGGTTATAAAGCAGACCCAACAGCATCTCAATTTTCTGAGAACCCTCAGAAAAATGGACCTTAAGTGGGAGCTGCTGATCATCTTCTACAGTTGCTCCATTCAAAGTGTGGTGACCTACTGCATCTCTGTATGGTTCTCTAGCTGCACAATGGCACACAAAAAGGCACTTCAAAGGGTCATTAAATATGGCCCCAAAAATCACTGGACATCCTCTTACATTCCTGAAGTTTAGCACTTGCTGCCTCAAGAGGGTATGCAGCATCCTACAGGATTTCACACACCCAGGACACCGGGTGTTTAATCTGCCTCCCATCTGGGAGGAGATTCAGGTTGCTGAGGCCACGGAAAAAACAGACTCAAGGACAGCTTTTACAACAGGGCAATAGCCCTAATCAATGCTAACATCTGACCTGATTGGTGATCTCTCTGTACTGGCAATAATGTGCAATAAACATTCATTCTTTAATTTATTAAGTCATACTTTTTTTGCACTTTTTAAAAATCCACTTTGAAGTCTACTGTGTTGTGTTGTGCTTAGTGCCGAAATGGGACGGTTTCTAATTTCATTGTACTATAGTACCAAGTATGACTGTGCAATGACAATAAAGAGTTATCATATCCCATTTTATCTTATGTCTTCGTACCTGAGAAGATGTGGACAGAGCACCGTGCCCATATTGATACTGGCTGAGAGCAGAATTTAGCCTGCGGACTGAAATGACACAAAAACGAGGACACTTACACAAAAAAGCATAGATGTTCTAGTGATCATCACAAGCAGAAGACTGTAAACATCCAAAAAATGCACGCCATATAATTGATTGATTTTTATACAGGGACCACCTATGGCTTAAAAAATAAATTAACATAGAACAGTGTCAAAAACTGATGGACTAGACGGCGTAACAGAAAAATATGCATGTCGTTTCCAAGTTTCGTCTCACCTTGATCACGCAAAAACTCCAGTTCTGCCTCCATGCTTACGATGTCGTCTAAAGAGAAGCAAAAGAATTTGCACTGGCAAAAACGACCACCACTACCAAAACTAAAGACGAACACTTAAAGCCTGTCAAACCTGGCACCACTAATCTAGGGGTTCTTTTCAAGTTAACGTTTCGGAACACGAAGAGAAAACTGTCGTTTAAGAATGTACTAATTCAGGTAAAGATGACACAAAGCCGCTAGAAACGTTCACTACAAACTAGCTAGCTACCTGTAGTAAATTTGTGCAGCTCGTGTTAGCTAAAGCAGCTAATCAATCTCGGCTAAGCTCATCAAAACAACTCAATGTTTTGATCTCTTCAACAAAACACCAAACACATTTTCCGAGACAGGATGCGCTTAAAAAAATACGCAAATGCATCGCATTGAAATTTTAAATTCATAATAGATGTTTTTACTTCAATCCTCGTTTCCGCCTCTTGTTTTGAAGTAAACAAACGGGGACCAATGGAAAAGAAGCTGTGCAACCGTAAAGTCATTCCGCCTGTACAAGAAACGCGAAAGGATGTTCCTTTTAAAAAAATAAAAATCAGGAAGCAGATGTACATTTGGAAGTCAATAATGCCAACTCTGCATATATAACAGTTTGAATTCGGTTGTTTGTTAAGGTATGATATATAACGTCATCACGTGAAAAGAGATTATGGTTAGAATGTGTCACAAATAGTGGTTTAAAAATTGCTGGATAGACATTTCCATACAGATGTAACCACATATTGCATGAAAACGTAAACAGCATAGAGTTGGAAAATATCGTCCTCTGCTTGTCGTTTTAATCTCAGATCTTATCAAGTAAGTGTAATCCTCGGACGTTTGCTTTACCAGGAAAATGATTTTACTGTCTTGTTACTGATAACATTATTCTGTTTTACACAATTTGATAACAAACTGCGGGTGAATCAAAGGGTGAAACGCAGAGTATTTAAAGAAATTACACGCGCACTCGGAGCACTCTTGTCCTGTAGCCAGTGAAAACAAACATGGGGGTGACTCGTGTACTGCAGTTTATAACACTTTTCCACATTCTGCTATGCTGTGAATCTCTGTAAGTTTTGTAGCTTTTTTGTTCCCTGTGTCGCTGCTCACACAGCAGATTTTAAGACTGAGTGATTTTCTTTCTTTCAGTCCTCGCACGCAAATGCAGTTTGACATCGAACACACTTGGGACAGCAACCCTGTAAATCATGACCCCCTCAAAATCACCTTCTCTCCTGGGTTAGGAGGCCTGAAGGTGGAGGTGTCTGGTCCATTCTTCAATGACCCGGCTGCTCCTGCAGGGCCCCCAAGCCAGGCCTTCCCTGGACTGTGGAATTATGAAGGTGGGTAGATTGGTCTGTTGCTTCCATAGCCATGCAACCTTTCTTTTAACACAAGACACAAGCTTTTAGGGGTTTAGTCCATGCAAAAAACAAACAAACAAAAAAAACCAAATCGATTTTAGTTCAAATAATGTGATATGAATTCATGATATCCTGAATTTTTAAATATAAATATTTTTTTTATCAGAAATGCCAGAATGTCAGCTTAAAGCTCACAAAACTATTTCAACAACCGCCAAACAGGTAAAACAGCAAACGGTTAAAAGAGCCAGTAAAAAGATTCTGCATAAAGATGTAAACACAAAGCGTGACCATCGGGTCGTCCACACAGACATGTCGTCGGGTGCTGAAAGTCGACATCTCACAGATTCTGAAGCTGTCGGTTTCGTCACTCCAACCGAAATTCACAGAACCAGCAGCAAAAGAAGATCAAAACTATGCTTCATGTTTGAAAAATATCTTACCTTAGTTGTTTTGTTTCCACCACAATAAAATTACACTTCCTGCACAGCTCCCTCTCTCAGTGTACATTAAGAACAGTTTACCATCACAAATCTCTATTTTCTGAATTATTCGCTTGCTTATTACACATCAGTCTATCGTTGTTTACAGTGCTATCGGCCACTGGTTTTTTTTTTCTTCCAAGACCTCTGACAAGACCTGCTGTCAATACATTACAAAACGCTTAGCTCTGTCTCTAATAAAACCTCTGTAACTTTGCTCTGCTTCACCTCAATAGCATCAGGTAATGTTTATATGCTGATTTGTGGTTTTCTTCCATTTTTGTTCTACTGCAGAATATTTTTAAGGTGGTTATCTGCTATAAAAAGCCACCCCATGAAAATCTCCTTCATGTTTTTCTGTGTTTTATCCTCAGTTACTTTGACACAAAGGCATTTACTGTGATTCTTACACCTCTGATGAAGTCTCACAAGTGTCAGCTTTGCTTTTATTGCCTACATAGATATAAAAATATGGATATGTACTGATAAATGATCAGAATTATAATATTTCTGACTGAGTCAAAATTGAATCGAATCGGGACCTTGTGAATCGGAATTGAAACAGTTATAGAAATCAGTGACGATACCCAGCCCTATTATAAAATATATATATGTTATAAAATACCTTTAGCCTTACGCCCTTAATTTGTTTATGTATCAAAGGTAGCCCTATTTGCAAATTATTAATGTAAAATAGAATCCCCTTTTAATCGCTTAATTGGGTTTCATAATTTCAACTGTTTTTAAATGTTTGTTATTGACAGGAAAATGCATTCTGTTATATATATGCACAGTATGATTATTCATATTATATTAAATTAGAATATTGATGAATTTCATATATACTCATACAACATGAAACTAGTCCCATGAAACTGTTATCTTATTTTCTTTAACCTCAGTTTGGAAAACAAACCTGCTTACCAGCGCCTCTAAAACTCACAAATTAACATGTTATGTTTTATTTGTTTAATCTGTTCCCATTTGGCCCATCTCATATTAAACTGCTATATACAAAAGCTAACCAGCTGCTAGCTGAAGCGTAATATTTCAGAGACCTTTCCCTAATTGTAGCACAATTCTTTTAAACGCTTATAATTAACAAATGAGAAACAGCAATTATATAACCGACAAGCTCCAGACTTCATAAGGCTGATTCCAACGGAAATTCATTATCTTTAAAAAGGTCACATTTATGGCTTATTGTAATAGATTGTAGTATTGTACATGTGTTACTTTTATGGTCCCCATGCTTGTTGTAGCCGTAGTTACGGAACCATCAGTTATGATTATGTAATTTAGTCCCTAGGATGCAATTTTAGGCCCTTTGGCAAGCTGAAATAATATGAATAAAGTCTACTGTGGCTGAAGAGACTAGAGACTGTCTGTTTATGGGATCATTACAGTAACTGCATTATCATTATTATGGCGACACAGCAATTAAACCTCACAATGAGGCTGAGTAATAACAATTGGTTCTAATTGACCTCAAGTAAGTTCGATTTCCGTTTAATGAGCCCCACATATTTGGTCTCATTAATGTTACTTAATAGATTGGAAACCAACCCCATTATGATCTAGGTAGATAAAGAGCATGCTTCTAGGTTAGTGAGTGTGCTGCTCACATAATTGTATTTAAAAGTTTATGTAATTGTTATTTTTGCATGTTACTGTTAAAGTCTGAGTCAAAAATGAATGACCTGAATAATTTAATTATTACTTTTTGGTCTTTTTTTTTTTTAAATAAGTGCTGATAAGGTTAATAAGACAGTTAAAGCAGTTTATTAATGTGAGATTAAAAGTCTTATCTTCATTTTTCCATATCTCATCAGTTGTAGAGACCTTCTTCCTTGATAGTACTACAGAAAATTACCTGGAAGTCGAGTTTTGTCCGTGAGTACCAAGCTGAGCTCTTGCTCTGCCCATGTATATATAGCCATATGTTTATAAACAGTGGAACAATGACACGTCTTCCCTGTGTTTTTACTTTAGACATGGACAACACCTGATATTACTACTTTCAGGAGCCGGCCAAGCATTCCTGGTAGGCTGCGTATGGAGGTATTCGTAGGTTTTTTTTGGGTTTATGGGATATTTCTTACATTTTTGATTTCTCTCTCCAGCAACAGCTTCCCATGGTATTTAACACCAAGATCACTGGAGACAGATGGACAGGTGAGGCTCTCATCCCTTGGACATACTTCCCTCCCAATGTCAACAAGATGAACTCCTACGCGATCCACGGCTCAGGAGAGAATCGTATATATGAGGCTCTTTATCCCATCCCCAAGGAGGAGATAGCCGAAGGACAAATGCCTAACTTGTGAGTATGCTGACTTCTACAAGTGAAGTTTGATGTGCCATAGGTCATGTGCACAGACATTTTATGTTATAGTGGTGCTGTCGTGAGGCACTGAGACAGAAAAAAGAGGTTCATGTGCAAAATCACACCTTTTTTTTGTATATTCTTTTAAAGGTACAGTAAGTCATTTTGTAAGAAATTTAAAAGAAAAAAGAATTTTACACTAATTCATTAAAATATTCATAAAATACATACAAAATAAATAGGAGAGGCCGCCAGTTTATGGAAGCCATGGCAACATCTTGAAAACAGCAGCCAAGATAGAAATCGCGTTCCACCTAATAACATGTTATATACGTGGCTAGAGACTGTCCATATTCATGGTATTACTATTAATTCAAATGTCATAAATAGCTCTTTCAAACTCCATAGGACTATTTAACATTTGCAAATGTATATTTTCATTATCGCTTTCTCCTCCTCTTCATCTGCCTTCTTCACCACTGTTCTCTCCTCCCTCATTTCCACCTGATTGTTTTCGTCCTCAACTGAAGTCTCATTTCACGAACTGAAATCAGTGCTCTAACACACAAAACATGCATAAACATGCTTATTTATTCTGGTTATTCTCCTTATAAGCTAATATTATGCTTTCCCAGTTGATTACATTCTCATATTGTATGACAGTTCATTTGCTATCTGTCCAACAATGTTAGATCCACTTCAAAGCAAGTTTCACTAATGCCGGTTACAGCAGCTAACTGGCAACAACAGCACCACTTACCAAGAGAAAAGTTCACTGAAAGTTCACTGACTCATATAACACTCCTTTCACAAAGTTTTACAGCCTCCACCAGGTTAAATAGACTAGGACACTCAGCATATTGAAAACTGAGGTAAACAGCGGACTGACAGCCTACACTCAAACTTGTTAAACGGTAGTCTGCAGCCAGAATTTTTGAGGTATCTTGGGTTTTAAAAACCTAAAATACTGCAAAAATATTTGGCAAATTTCTTTTTTTTTGATATTATCCAAATATTTTAAAATATTGCGCGTGCAAAAACAAATTAAAACATGTTTGTCCTACAGCAAACATAAATAATGCACTTGAATTGGGAGGGTTAAGGAAACAGGAAACTGCAGTCTACTGACATCTAGTGATGAGATTTTGCATACTGCGCCTTTAAGTTGTAAAACAGGTGTAGATCAAATGGTACTTATGTCCAATCCACAATCTGTACCTTTTAGAGTCACATTAGTCAACTTTGTCATTTCAAATTACATGTATATAAATGTGTATTTCACTACTTTATGCATAATATATTAAATTTATCTTTCTGTCTTCTAGTCACCGGCTAGAGTATTTCAAAGATTTTCGCCTGCAGA